GTGTTATGTAGCCTTCTGTTTTACCAAACAGTGTGCTGATGTTGTGATACTAGATTATTGTGTTATATAGCCTTTTGTTGTACCAAACAGTGTGCTGATGTTGTGATACTAGATTATTGTGTTATATAGCCTTTTGTTGTACCAAACACTGTGCTGATGTTGTGATACTAGATTATTGTGTGTTATGTAGTCATGATGAAATTTGTACAGTTATTATTAGGTGTAATGCTCAAAATTAATGTCAGCATCTTGATGCATTTTTTATTCCACGTTATCTTGTTACTGAAATAAAATCTTATTTTTGTTTGTAATTGCTTTATTGTAGATAAATATTTATCAATTACTGAAAGTATAAGTTATTACATCAAGTGCTGCAGTGATTATGACTACTGTAATCTTCACTTAGCCCCAACATTAGCACCCAGAATTCCCACAGGTGAGCCCAGTCTTTGTGTTATACTTTGAACACATCATAACAATACTGCTAAAAGCTTAAAAATTACTAAAATAATAAAATGTAAATTCCAGATTGTTGCCAGCTTTTGGAAGTGACATTCATTAAAATGTATGAATAGAAGTTAATTGTAATATGTTAATAGTATGTTTCTTTCTCCCATGCTTTTTTCTTAGATTTTACTTTGTGTAAAGTGTGTCTCAAAACCTTGGTTTGTAAGTATTCTTTTTGAACTCACACTTTGGAGTAAAAATGTAAAATTGTACAATTAATAAACGCAGACAACACAGCTTTTAACTCTAGCTGAACCCTTCGTCTGTAGAACACTAGATAACAAATAGCAGTCATGAACAAGATAAAAACTAACAAATATAGTTGGGAATTGGATTGAGAATAATGTGATCAGAGGGATTAGAATTTACAGTTCAACACTAGAATGAAAAGAGATTAAATTTAACATGTTAGAATAATGATTATGAGCATAATTATAATCATAATCTCATTGATTATTTTTGACTAGGGTATATTGTAGTGTTTTGAATCTTGTGTTCATAGTTTAAGCCAGTATTTCTGGTTGATGTCATCAGTTTACATGTACAGTAAATTAGTATTGTAGACTTGCATATGAATATCTCATAAAACTAGATGCTACTGGCAGTTAAATCTTGTGATAACTACCAGTTACTATTTCATTGTCATTTATTTGCTTTTTATTTCCTTAGTGCTCTTGTATTTAAAGGGTAGTCTTTTGAACATTAAACACATGAGAAAAAAAGAGAATTGTATACGAGTTGGGTTGAATATGTATGTGTGTGTGTAACATTGTTATCAAAATAAGTAACATATTTGGACATTCTTGTAGTATATTGTATGTTCATAATAAAATATAGTTGCAGTTTTTCTTTTATATGATTTGTAGGAACATTTCAATTTATAAATTCTAACAGTTTCAATATTTTATTTTACCTACTGTTAAAATCAATCCGTTACCTAAGTAGTTGGTGTACTCAATCAAATAGTACACTTGTATCTTTATATGGAGGACAAGATAATTGGTTTTAAGTATTTGTGTAAGTTGGAATGCATACTATCAGTGTAAGCTGAATATCTGAGGTCTTTGCAGATCAAAATTTTGAGTATGTCTACTTTTTAGATAACTGAGGGTTATGTGAAGTACACTGTTATACTAAAATTACTTGTACATTGTAAAATTAAAATAATAGTCTTTGCTGTAATGTGAGATGCAATCATAGGTATGCAAAACTATATGTCCATAGCTTCATGGATCCATTCTTCCTTAACTTGCAGAGGGTGTCATATAGTGTACAAATTTCTTAATGTACTTTACTGCCATGTTTTTATAATTAAAATATTATACATAGTATTTCCATTATATTTCAGTATTTATATTCAATCTCCTTAAAGACATTGGTTAGAAAGAAGGTGTGCTTATAAAATTGTATATTGTTCAAAATCTGTACACAAAAATGTTATTCTCATCTCACAGAGGTTATACAATGTCTTGTAAGTTTGTATGTACACCTGAACTTTGTGACATTTGCATATTGTTGTCAAATAACTAAGTTATTGTATCTTTATTCCATTTCAAGGGTCTGTTTTTGAATGCTCTCCCTCTAAGATTTATTTCCTCGTCCATCTTACTGCAGAGGTTTCACTTATTCTGTACATAGGTTGCCATGGTATTTGTTTGGCTTCTAAAAGTTTTGTTTCCTTGAACTCAATCAGCATTCTTCAACCTTTACATTTTCTTTATGATGCTTGTTTGATTGGCTCTTTCTCCCCACCCCCTCTTCTTTTATTGTAATCTTCTACCAACATTGATGGTTTTTCCTAATCTGTATTCTGAACTGGCTTATTGAATATTGGATCTTATGAACAGCATTTTACAACACAAGTCTTATGGGCTTTCTACTTTGTTCTCTTCTTACTGGAATTTTATTTGCTACCTTCTTCCTGATGACATAGTATGTTTTCAGTACATACTCATCCAGAATAGGCATATTTGGCCTATTGTACTATTTGTTTCTAGTGCTTTGAATACAACTGGTCAGGGTTTGCATTCATTCTAACGTTCTTCTGGGCTCCTTCCAACACAGTATGTTTTATAGAAAATCATTGCAGGTTTTTAAAATTATTTTTAACTAACATGTACTATATTAAGTACAGAAGGTGTGTATATCATGGGACTTCTTTACGGAGAACAAGCTTGACTATGGTGAATAATAAAACTGTCTCATCATGCTTATCTTTAAAACATTAGATATGTTGTATTGGTGATGTGCAGTAGACTTTTATTAAGCTCCAGCACTCAGCCACATGGCCAGAATCATAGGACCATGACCCTAACCATATTGATCGTTTATATATTCTGTCACCAGCTTTTAATGGCCAGTTCTACGAGACTGTTACTATCCCTGGAATTGCAGGCCTTTCCTTGGTTCTGTACACCATTCAGATTTCACTTTCTGTGAATATTTTGTACAACAATTTGTTTTATTTTTTCTTTCAATTTTTACAGTTATTCAGAATTACTTGCTCTTTAAAAACCCTAGTTTCATAGTTTTCACTACTTTTCAACTCTTCATATTTTCACCTTAAAACAATATAATTTAAATATAAAAACCTTGTCTTTAAAAATTTATTTTGGTTGTGGTATTTTGTGTTTAAAAACACAAAGTTCATAAAATATAAAGGCAGTTCTCTGTATTTAAAACAATTCAAACAGTGTATCAGATTAGGTACATAGAGTTCTGAACAAACATGATGGATGTATGAGGCATGTCAATGACTGCAAAGTTAAATAGAAGTAGGTTAAATCTAATACATAACACATGATATCCACCAAACATCTCTAGTACAAAAGAATTGATGGAATTGTCTAGTAAATGACCTGCTAAAATTCAGTACATATAAAATGGATTTATATAGAAGTATTGTGTGGTTAAATTAATTGACTTGTAACTGTCTGTTTACATAAAGCTATCCCATGGTAGTAAATGGCTTTGGGCATACTACGAGAGGACCCAAGTGCAGCTGTAAAGCAATAGAACTTAAACATAGATTTGAACAGTTTGTTAGCTTTGGCTGTAAGAATAAATATTGTAATTGTATGTTACAATACACAGTCATTTTAGAAAGAAAAAAATGGTAGTTTAGAATTATTTTATAATTTTCATCTTTTCATTTTAACGTACATTGATGGTTTAGCTACAGTTAGTGTTAGAGTAGAGAAAGAAACAGATAGAATATATATATAAAGTTTTACTGCAAACGCTTTTGATATTTATTTAGGAGGTTCTTGACGTTATGCAAATAAAGTATGAAAACTGTAAGATGAGAAAATTATTTTTACTCTTAACAAGAAAATCAGACTGACTCCATAAATTCATAGACAAATTTTATGCAAAAAATACTTCATTAAAAAATTTATTTTTCTGTGTAATGTTTAACTTGTAATGTTTACTAAAAAGTTTCCAAATTTTGGCAAAATACACAGAGTACATTCAGAGCTATAATATGTATAGTTTTGTGATTATATGGTGGTTACGAGAGTTAAGCAGTGGGGAGAAAACAAGAGTAAACAATGAAATGACAAGGAAATCTTATCCAAAATATTAGTTGTAGTAGATTTAGCTATCAGTTGATTTTGTTTTCTATTAAAATATTAATTTTAATAGTAGATCTATCTTGCTGTTAGAAATTGAAGAAATAGTTCAAAAATTGGTAATCTAAGTAAGTACAACAGTAAACTTAAACAGTACAAGTCAATTTGAAAAAGCTGAAGCAATGTTTTTGTGTACTTCAATATGTCACTGAACTTGGATACTACATAAAAAATATACTAGTTTTTTTTTAAAAGTAAGTACCAGTATTTAAAGTTTTCACTTATGCTGACGATGGCTGAATCAAGTGAAAAATTTGGAACCATAATCAAAATATTCTTGCAGATTATAGTATATCCATGTGTGTCGAATGAGATAATTTCTGTTTTTTCAGTTGGTTCTCCAGAAAGAAAACTTGGAACGTTGGAACATACCATAATCATCAGTGGTCCAGTATGCTTTGTCTGTATTGTTACTATAATACTCCTTTCAATGTAGAAACAGAAATGCAGACTGCAACAGTACAGGCAACAAGTAGAAGTAGAACTTATAGTTGGACAACCTGTCAAAGGAAACAGCATTAGAGATATGATAGATATGACCACCTCAGGTTCAGGATCAGGTGTGTGCATGTTTGTAACCTTAAGGCAGTGGTTTCCAAACTTTGTGTCATGGTAAGTTGCTAAGAGTGTCCCAAGAGTTTCACCAAATGAAGAGTAATTAAGAATGTTTAAAAAAAATGTACAAAAAATTTATTGAATATGGTAGCAGGAGCGTCGAGCAAATCAAGGAAAGTGGGTTCAGCTGTTGTCAGTGAAAAAAGTTTGGGAACCACTGTCTTAAGATGTAAATGTTAAACTTTTGAATTAAAATTTTTAAAAAAACAACACTGACCATGAAAATATTAGTGATTTTATTTTAAATATTGTAATTTACCATAAGTTTATAAAAACACATCTAAATATTTTGTATAAATGTGCATACATTTCAGTTAGATTATACAAGAAAACTTTTTTGACTATCACTAAATTACTGAATGTAATGCTTATAAGGACTAAACAGAAAAAAATTTAAAAACTAAATGTATTCTGTGTAAACTTTTAAAGGTTTTAGACATAAAAAACCTGTTTGGTGTTTAACCCTTTTAGACTTAATTTATGATTTATTTATTTGAAGTGAATATTTGTATAATTAATTAGCTATAAATATTCTAGATAATATTTTTTATTTTCTGATTTTCTGTTGCACTGTAGCATAATGGTATGGCTTCATGTAGGAATACTGGTCATTTTCTGTGATGCATTTATTGTATTATAATCTTTAAACTTACATGTGCATTAGGTTATATTTCATCAGCTAGCTATTATTTGATTCAATAACGTTGATTATAGGCATTTCAGCTGAAAATTACCTCATATAGTTAGTTTTACAGGTTGAGTGCCAAAAATGCTAAATTAAATATGTAAGCTCATTTGCACTTATCATAAACAATGATTACTAGTACTGAAACTGTATATTTTTTCCCAATAATCTTGCTCTGTCTGCTTGTGCAGTTTCTCAGTAACAACCTTGCAGCAGAATTTTTATAAAATCAGTCTTCTTCAAAGAATAATCATGTTAATGCTTTCTCACTCCACTTGTGCAGCTTCCAATGAACCTAATGTCTTAGTTTTATGACTTGGAAATATATGTTTAAATATACCAAAAACAGAGAAATCTATTGGAATTGCATCAGGACTCTTGACAGATATATAATCAAGTGGGGTTTTACTTAGGTTTTTTGCCATCTTTCTCATTAAAATAGATAACGATTTCAAGGTGTAGCTGAAAGATTACAAACTTTTGACAAATGATCCTTTGTCACCTTCATCACAATGGCTTTTTTAGGTCAGACGGTTCTCTTTCATAACCAGAACTTTAACTTTATAAATTAAGATATTGGTCCTGATTGGCTTGAAATGTGTTTTTGAATTTCATTGCTGTCCTAAATGCTCTGCTCTGCTGTGCAGTTTTTCTGTTTCCTTTAAAGAACATGTCCTTTTGGCTATCATTTAACAATCTCAGTGTGTGTGAATATTTCTCATTGAATAAATGTGGTCACAAACCCCCATCCCAGCTGCCAGTAAAGTTTTGGAAGCATTTTACAATCTTGGTTAGTACAGTTTGTTTTTATATACAGGACAGTTGCCTGTCTATTTTGTGGCTATTGTTATGAAAAAAATACTGATATTCATAGAAAAGCAATAGCTAATTTACCTTCATTTCCCTAATTTGTAATCACAAATTTAAATAATAATTGGATATTATCAAAGTTACATTTTGTTCTTGTTTTTTTGATTGGTTTTTTCATACAAAATGAAGCATTTCAATGAATCCTTAGGTATTGCTTAAAATTTCCTTGTATACACGCTGAAATGATTAATTGTTTTGCTACCAGTGGAAATTGTGGTCAGCTAAGACAAAGTGTCTGTGTGAGGTGATACTGAGTTGTTCTTTTTTAGTTGATACTTCATATATACTCTAGTTATAAGCAGAAATTTTCTAAATCATAGTTGCTGCCACAGGCTGAGCTCATTGGGGCTCAACGTTGTTTTAGGTGTAACTCTCAATTCTTAGGACATCTTACTTCATATCAACAATCTCTTACTCAATGTGATGCATTTTTGAACTGATTAATATATATCTCATGCTTTTAGGCTCAAATTATGTGTCACATTCCATTTGAAATTAAGTATAAATTAGTAACATATCTATAATTGTTCAATAAAAAAAAAACAATATTACTTATTAGTTTACAGATTTTGTTTAATTTTTACAATCTGATTAGTTTGCTTCTGTAGCTCTGTCCCGTACTTTTAACTTAACTGAATTTTTATATACAGGTCCATATTCTCATAGTCTCTAATACAATTCGGTTACATTTATATTAGGTTTCAATATATGACAGTTGGTAATAAAAAATTATGTGCAGTAAGTTCTTTTATAAAGTGGTTATTAGAATCATAAATCAAGCAGCTTATCTTGCAGGTCATGACCCCCCCCCCAAAAAAAAAAAAAACTTGTTACATACAAGATAAATTTTAAGTTTATTGTAAATAAAACAATTCAGATATTGGAAAATACTAATATTTTTGATCCAGCTTTCAATAAATGTATATATGAATAGGTGTGCCATTGTTAGTTCAAAGAAGTATTGCTTGTCAGATACAGTTAATTGGAATTATTGGTAAGGGTTGCTATGGTGAAGTCTGGGAAGGACATTGGAATGTTGAACTAGTAGAAATGAAAATCTTCTCTTCTAGAGATGAAAGGTTTTGGTTTCGGGTAGTAGAGATCTACCAGACAGTGATGTTTCGCCATGAAAATATTCTTGGATTTGTTGCTGCAGATAATAAGGGTGAATAAATGTTTTAGAATATGGTTAATTTAATTTTAATTTAAGTTTGATCAGATATTCAAAATTTCTGTAAATAAAAATTATTCAAACAGAAAAAAATCAGTAAGAAAACTGACATCAAACAAAAAGAAACAATATTACATCTTTTGAAGAGTAGAATTCATCAAATTTTAAAATGTGATAGTTAATAAAACCAAGAGTAACTTAAGTGTAGAATTTATTTAATTAATCTTTGGTCTCAAATTATGTATGAGCAAGCTCTCTTTTTATACAGAGGCTCTGTTCGTCATTGACCCTTGTTAAGATATTAAAGCAATATGAGTGGATAACAACATCACACTCACCTAAGATGTTTTCCAGTACACTTCATCTGTTTGCATGCTCGAAACAAATGGTGTACTCGCCATCAAACTTTTAAGATATTAAAGTTTTAGTAAACCCTCTACGTATGAAAAGTTCTGTAGTTATTACTTTTCCAAATATTAGTAAATATTCTCTGAATGTGAAAAACTATTTACTAACTATACTTTTTAGGGTATACCCTCAAATACAGTTGAGGTATATTTTTAAACCTAATTTTTGTTTATGGAATTATTTTTAGATTTAAGGATTGTTTTCTTTCACTGAGATCCCCAAATGTTTTTCATATCCATCCTTACTGTCAGCATGATTATGTTGGTTCTACTAAAAAAAACTGTTGAGGTGCATAAAGGAACAAGTAAGTTTAATAGAACAAGTGTACTCAGCACACCTCAGATGAGTGTGATGTCATTGTCCCCTCAAATTACTTTAATATCTTAACAAGAGCCAGTGATGAACAGAGCCTCTGTTTAAAAGAGAGCTTGCTCATACATAAACTTGGGCCTGAGATTAGCCAAGTGAATTCTTCTTTTAAGTTATTTCAGAGTTCATAAGAATAAACATGTATTTTAGATCAATATTTTATGAGTATTATTTTACATTTTCATTTTCAGACAATGGAATGTGAACACAATTATGGTTGATAACTGACTATCATGAAATGGATCTCTGTTTGACTATTTGAGTTGGTCCACAGTGGATCCAAGTACCATGTACAAAATGGACTACTCTATAGCCAATGGTCTGGCACCTACATAAGGAAATTATAGGAGCTCAAGGTGTGTTCATTTGGCAGAGAATATTTTTTTAATATGTGAAAAACACACATATCCAATGTTTCAGTTGATGTAAGAGTATGTCAACAGTCAGTAAATGTGAAGCTTAAATTTTGATGGAAAGTAATTTTTCTCTAGAATAATTAACATAATACTTTACTTCAGAAGTAAAATTAAACTACACTGACCAATAAAACTACTCCATACCTATTGTGTATGACTAAAAGGAAACCTAAATAGTAGCTATTTTGGGAACTTTTGTAGCAGTGTTAGGCATCAACTAGTGAGATTGTATTATGACTCTGTTACAGATTGATGCTGTTTTTTGCTACTGTTGAAATTTTTGACCAAATAAGACCCACAGGTAAGCTAGCTACTGCTCATCAAGATTTGAAGAGTAAGAACATCTTAGTAAAATTTAATGGAATTTGTGTCATTGCAGGTCTGGGACTAGCTGTCCATTATGATCCTACCACAAATTCTATGGATATCCCTACCAACCCCAGAGTGGGTACAAAATGATATCCTGGCTCCTGAGGAGGTACTAGATGAAGTCATGAACATCAATCATTTTGACTCTTTCAAACGTGCAGATGTATATGCTTTTGGCCTTGTCTTATGGGAAACAGCATGGCGATGTAATATTGATGGTAAGTTAATTTCATTGCACTATCACTAAGTATTCAACCTGTAGACTTGTATTTTATCTAATGTATTATAAACTTTCGAGAAGGCCCGGCATGGCCAGGTGGTTAGGGTGCTCGACTCACAATCTGAGGGTCGTGGGTTCAAATCCCCATCCCACCAAACATGCTTGCCTTTTCAGCTGTGGGTGTATTACAATGTGATGGTCAATCCCACTATTTTTGGTAAAAGAGTAGCCCAAGAGTTGGTGGTGGGTGGTGATGACTAGCTGCCTTCCCACTAGTCTTACACTGCTAAATTAGGGACAGCTAGCGCAAATAACCCTCGTGTAGCTTTGCGTTAAATTAATAACAAAAAAACAAAACTTCCTAGATATTTTATTACACCCACATTTGAATGAGGGCATAGGGAAAATACACAATTATTTTCAGCACACATCTTCTAGGTTTACCGAAAGCTATCAGCTTTCAAACATTTCTTTCTAATTTATTTAAACTCAGTCGTTTGTAGATAAAAATGTCTTAGTTACTTTTTTTATATTTTGTGGTGTATGTTGACAGTATAACAAATGTTATATTGCTTTTGCAAAACATAATTTTATTGCTTCCATTTCTGACTCATATCATCATCCCTTGAAGAAACAAGGTTCTCTTGTAAGAACAAAAGAAAAACATCTTATTCACATTCTTTCAACCCTTGCTAATGAGGAAATAGTTTTTATCATGATAAAATAGCTTATTACTAAAATTTTAATCACATTTTTGTTTAATTCAAAGTTTTTAACCTTAAATATCAATTTGTTTAATTATTGGAGAAAAAAATCATATTACTTGTTTCAAAAACAGTACATCAGATTGTTGATTTGTGATGGTATGTTTCTTTGTCAGGCTTCTATGAAGACTTTCAGCTGCCTTATAGTGATATAGTACCATCAGATCCGACCATTGAAGAATGTGAAAAAGTTGTCTGCATAAATAGGCAGAGACCTCCCAT